AAAAGGAAAGCAAACTATTCATTAGCGTCCTGCATGTACGAATTAAATTTATTTCAAAGACAAAGACAAAGACAAAGAGCAAGCAATAAGTTGAAGCTCAAGTTGAAGAGTTTAATTAATGTCGGCAAAAAGCAGTTAATTTCAATTCACATTTAAAAACGTTTTACATAGAGTTTCGTTTTGAAGTTTACATTAAACTAAAGCCCACAGAAACCAAAATAATATACCTGTGGGAAAATGTAGGGATATAGACGGACAAGCGATAATTCAAGTTGATATCTAGAGATAGAAACGGACAGGACATTATAAATGTGGATATGTAGGGATAAATAGGGTTATAAAAACACGTGTGAGAATCCAAGATGGCGGAACGTTGTTGTTTTTCGAGAGCATTTATTTAGTATAAAAATAGCATGTTTTAGATATTAAAAAAGGAATAGAACCAGTCGTAGGTCTTTATTGTCGTCTCATAAAGCGATTATCGACATACCTACTTTATATATTTTAGAACTTGACAGTTCTGTACTTAAAAGTGTTCAAGTTTCATCTATTTTTGCAGGTTTCAGATTTGTACAAATAATTTTAAAAAAAATTATCGTGTTGCCATGACTAACTTGACGCGAGTAACGCGAACCTGCGTTCAGTGTTCCGGCGTAATTACGAATACTTCATGTTGAAACAATGTTTGGAAAATATAGGCGAGGGTTGTTGCATGCATGTATTTCTAGTAGTCTTTTATAACTTATAATTTATCCTAATATATCCCTTTAAACAAAACGCGGATTTTATTTTAAAATCGAGTCCGTCCGTCCCCCGTCCATCCGCCTATCACTCCGTCCGTCCGTCCGTATCCGCGTTTTATCCTTACTCGATATTTTGAACACAGTTGTGATTTTGAGTTTTTGACAGGTAGGCGTGACCATAAACGTGACTCAAAGGGGCAGGCGTTTATTATTACGAGGCCCACCTGAATAAACGCCTGTTTGCAGGCTAGACTGGACTAGATTTCAAGTCCTCACTTTCGCATTTTGATCCAGTCCTTGGCTTCGCCAACATTCGTGGAAATTGGGAAGACAAGAAATGGTGTGAAAACACAACGCCCGGAGGGTTTTCACACAATTTCGAGTTTTCCCAATTTCCACGAATGTTGATATATTCTGTATATAATATTTTTTATAATAATAATAATAATTTATTAATTTATACCGCGCTAAAACTATACAATATTCTAAAGCGCTTAATTACATGAAATAGGAAGCTAATTTTAAAATTTCCCTACGTTATTACTCAACATTTAAGTAGTATAAGCATCTATTTAAAAATATTTAAAAACAAGAAGTATTATTAATGTACGCGTCTCTATACAGAAATGTCTTAAGATTTGTCTTAAAAGAATCCAACGAAGGTGAAAGCCGAATCTCACACGGTACTAAGTTCCACAATATTCTAAAGCGCTTAATTACATAAAATAGGAAGCTAATTTTAAAATTTCCCTACGTTATTACTCAACATTTAAGTACTATAAGCATCTATTTAAAAATATTTAAAAACAAGAAGTATTATTAATGTACGCATCTCTATACAGAAATGTCTTAAGATTTGTCTTAAAAGAATCCAACGAAGGTGAAAGCCGAATCTCACACGGTACTAAGTTCCATAGAGTAGGTCCTGCTTTCAAAAAGGCACGATCACCAAAAGACTTTCTACGTGTGTTTGGAACATGAAGAAGCCCTAGTTCGTCCGATCTCAACGAGTAGTTATTACTTTGTTTATAAGTCAACATGTCACTAATATATTTGGGAGCCAATCCATGTAGAGCTTTATAAACCAACAGTACGATCTTAAATATAACACGGTATTTAACCGGTAACCAATGCAGTCTCATTAATGTAGGTGTAATATGATCAGACTTAGGTACGAGACATACAACACGAGCAGCAGCGTTTAGCACTTTCTGCAATCGATTTAATTGATATTTTGGAATTCCATACAGCAAAGAATTGCAATAATCCAAATGGGATGTAATAAATGCATGAACTAAAATTTTGGTAGCATCGTCAGTTAAGTATTTCCTAATTTGTTTGATATGGTAAAGGCTTCGAAAGGCCTTGCTGCAGATTTTGCTAATATGCAAATTCATGGACATATGAGTATCTAACCAAGACCCAAGATCACGAACAGCGCCTACTGGAGAAATCGATACTTCTCCTACCCGCAATTTGTTAATCGATACCTTCGATAATTGCTGACGAGAGCCTATAATAATAAATTCTGTCTTGCTACTTTGAATAAAAAGACGATGTGCACACATCCAGTTTCGAAGCTCATCAATACAGTCTTCCATTGCTTTAACAGCTGCCTCCTGATGCAATGAGTTCTGAGGTTTAAAAGAAAGATACAATTGTGTGTCATCTGCATAAGCATGATGACAGGGCAGATGTTTAGAAATAATCTCAGAAAGGCCAGACACGTAAAGTAAAAATAGAACAGGACCCAGGCAGCTGCCTTGGGGAACTCCAGTAGCAACCATAAACTCGGACGACTTACACCGATCAATGACAACTTGCTGCTTTCTATTAGCCAGATACGATCTAAACCACTGAAGTGCGCTGTCCACTACTCCAAAATCATTCTTGAGGATATCAGTAAGAATATTATGGTCTATAGTGTCAAAGGCAGCACTCATGTCGAGCATAACAAGCAACGTAACCTCTTCGTTGTCCATATTAATAAGTATGTCATTCTGCACTTTGAGCAGCGCAGTTTCAGTTGAATGGAACTGTCGATATGCTGATTGACTGACAGGCAGTGGTGCATTTTCGTTACAATGATTAACTAATTGCGACATGACAACTTTCTCAGCTACCTTTGCAAGAAAATGAAGATTATTAACAGGTCTAAAATTTTCAAACACTAAATCCATACCAAGTTTCTTAAGACGGGGATCTACAAGTGCCAATTTCCAATTTTCAGGAACTATTCCTTTCTCCAGCGACATGTTGATCGTTTTTGTAATTATCGGACATAGAACATCACAACAATCCTTAAGCAAATAAGTTGGTATTGGATCAAGTTGACAAGAGGCATTTGATGCTTTCGAAATAACTCCTCGTATATCATCTTGCGACACAGGAGAAAAGGATTTAAGCAATACTTCAGGTAAACGATGTTCAGTAGATATTGGGTTAACATCAATCTTATTAATTTCATCGTTGATAAGTTCAATCTTTCGACCGAAAAATGTTCCAAATTCGTTCGCCAGAATCAACGGATCCTCATAAGGTGGTAAACTTTCAGATGACTTCTGTTTGGACAATGAATTGATAACACGAAACAATTTCTTAGAATATAGGCCTACTATTTTATGAAATTTGATAAATAGTAATAAAATAGTCATATTTTTGAAAAAATACGGAAAAAATAGGGCTAAACAGAGAAAAAATAGGTATAAAATAGGTTATAAATATGTCGAATTCTACAAGGGTAAGGTAATATTTTTCAAACAATCAGGTCGTTCAAGAGACCACCAGAATGAATTTCTTCAGATTCATCCGACATCTTTTCTATTTCAATTAGTGGCTTAAGTAATTCAACTCGTTCTGCAGGGAGTGATGTGTTAATGAACACCACATTTCGAGAAGACTTCCGCATTGGAAGTTGCAATACAACATACACCGCTTCTTGCGCACTAATTTCTACTGAGTTCAAAAACTTATTTCCAATATCACGGACCTGTTGTTTAATGTTTGCATTTCCTTCCTTAGCTTCAGAACAAGCTTTACGTAACAATTCACTCATTCCTTTTTGAGCCTTTGAAATATAAGAGACAATGTACATTGCACATGCATACACATCCAGAACAAACTGGATGTCCATATTAGCTCTCCAGGCAAGGAAGCATGCAGGATTATAATTATTTATTCTTAATTCATTTGGACTTCTTTTAAGAAATATTGTAGGACAACTAAGAGATGATCGAATAGCAAGAATATATTCATGTTCTGAAACACTGAGTTCTTCTAGCAGTGGGTCGAAGGTAATAGAATGTCTTTCCACAAGACTTTTCTGCTTCTTATGAGTGTCTGAGAAGTATCATCATCAAGTGGATACAGTATCTGTGTAGATCTCATAGATGGTTGAGGATAGTTAAATCTACAAACCGTTTTAGATTTTTTTCGGCATGTGTGAGAATGTCTGTGTGTTTGCTTGTTTACCAGTTCAAGTAAGTTCGAGTCATTTTCTGGCTTACCACAAGTTATTATTTGGTGAATAAATGCAATTACATCTTCATCTTTGTCAACACCAAATACAGGTGCATTTTCAAGCCATATTAGCATGTGTATGTGAGGTGAACCTCTTTGTTGGTATTCAACCCTGTAAAACCAATCTTTTATTTTTCTTAATGGAGCAAGTTCACTCCTCAAAAAATCTTTCAAAAAAGTATTAAATTGATAGTCAAAATGCCGAACACATGTAACTGGGTCACTTTGGATTAGTCTACATTTTTCCTCCCATGTTAGATTGTCAAGTTCATCATCACTATAGTCTTTATGATCAATAAGTTTACCAAGGATTCTCAATAAATGAATCCATTTTGTTTCAGCAGAAGAAAAACTGCAAAAAAGTGATGCCGGTCCTAATTGGCGAATCATGGCAAACAAGTCTTTTTTAGCTTTTTCAAAGTAAGGTGGTGAACCTCTTAATGCTCTTAAGAATTTGTAACCTTCATCATGGCGAATTAAACTTTCTAAACCTTCAAGTGTTTTCAACTGTCCTGCATTAAAGGGTATTGGCAACAAAAAAATTTATTGATTTTATTGCTTCATCTGAAAGAGCATGACAAAATAAGCCGATTGGCCGTTTACTGCTCTATTCTATCTCATCTGGTTCCGAAGTTATACGCAAAAATGTGCAAAATATAAATTGCTGATTCAGCACATTCTGTGACGTTATAAACTGGGTAAGTATGTTTATTGAATAGTAAACTAAAGCATAGCTGAGTTATTATTGGCTCAAATCAAATGAAATTTTGCATACAGATTTGATTGATTGATTGAACACTGTCGTTCCCAGGCCTCTTACACTGATTTTGAATAACTAGTTGCATTTATCTATGTGTATGTCATTTTCGAATTATTATCATGCAAGTAAACTTTTGGCATGCATAGGTATCATACACATACTTCTGATATTATTTTATTCTTATCAGTACCTTGAATAAAGCTGTTTCATAAAATTGGGGCAAGGGTGTAGTATTCAATTGGGGCAAGGGTGTATTACTTCAGTGTAGTATTCAATAAACATACTTACCCAGCTAATTACGTCACACGTTGTGCTGAATCAGCAATTTATATTTTCACATTTTTGCGTAGAACTTCGGAACTAGATGAGATAGAATAGAGCATTAAACGGCCAATCGGCTTATTTTTTCATGCTCTTTCAGATGAAGCAATAAGATAGATGAAGCAATTTTTGTTGCCAATACCCTTTAATATACTTACTTTTTTAGAATTTCTAGTCAAATCTAGTCAAATTCTAGTCAGAGCTAGTTGCGGCATTACTTTAACTAAATGTTAGCATAACTTTAACTAGGTTTAGCATGTAGTCAAATCTAGTCCAATTCTAGTCAAATTCTAGTCAGAGCTGGTTGCAACATAACCTTAAGTAGTTTCAAAATCAACTTAAGGTAATTTCGAAACCCACTTAATTAAAGAAATATTTTTTCATATAATAAAAGGTATGGATTTTCCTATGACAGTATCGGGAGATATTCGTCACTTACCGGAAAAGGAGCGTAAGTTGATGGAAGAGGAGCGTAGGTCGATAGAAGAGGAGCGTAAGACAGCGGAAGAGCGACGTAGGTTAAGGTCAAATCCTCCGAATTGGTTGGTTCTCTTCAGGCAAGCGGAAAAGGAGCACTCGGATCTCCTTGCTTCAGAGGAACCTGTGGAGTTTCCTAACAAACACTTTTGTTCCGAGGGACGCAAGCACCAACTTGCCCCCATAAATTGGGAATGGACGTGTCGTGAGAGCGGGCTGATTATCGGCAGGATCCGCGATCCCTGTTACGACTACGATTGTTGGGACAGTGTGATTACGAGAAGTCGGGAAATGAGCATCGACGATAGGTTCGAATCATTTTGTACCGAAATAAATACAACATATTCCGATCTATCAGCGCATGAGAGGCGATTGATAGCAGATGACATTTATAAAGTTCGTAATGCAGAAAAGCCTAGGGGGAAGAGGTTTCCTAATCTCAATATCCTGACATACCAGATATGTAGAAGATTTGACATAAAGATAGGCGAAAAATTGGAAATTAAACGAGACTTACCTGTAAGTCGAAGTTTGATTGTAATTCTATAAGTCATTAGCGAGGAGTGGAGGAGTTGTAGGAGAGAGAGTACCGCGCATGAGTTAACCAGTATTTAGAGCATTAATATTGGTACAATGCCTGGAGTGGAGGAGGTAATCGGGCCTGGGTGTAATTTCACGGGTGGGCCTACAACTCCTCCACTCCTCGCTAATGACTTATAGAATTACAATCAAACTTCGACTTACAGGTAAGTCTCGTTTAATTTCCAATTCTATTACGTCATTAGCTATAGTCGTTACGTAGTTGTACGAGAATTTAGAGCTGGCATTGCACCAATATTATATCCGAAGAATAAACAGCAAGAAAGAGAAAACACAATGTACAGTATAAGGAAATATCACATAATAAAATGATTATACAAATAGACCATGCAATTGTTTAGGATAGTGTATTCATAATAGCACTACCAAAGTTAAATTCATTGTTATCTTTGAAATGGTAAAAACGTTTGAAAGTCTCTTCTTTTGACCATCCAGCTGCATTCAAGATATCTTTAAGGTCAAATTGTTGGGATGCTAAATGAGATGTTGATGCTGCTCTAGTACTATGACTCTTATATTGTGTAGTATCAACACCAGCAGTTGTCATGAAGTTTTTTATCCAGTGCGAGATTGTTTCCGTTGAGATGGGTTTGTAAGGTTTCACGAAACTAATAAGAAGCTGCTTGTTGTCACCACGAACGGGTGATGTTCGTTTTAAATATTCCTGTAAATATGTTAGGATACACAATTTTTGATCAGCAACATACGCCATAAAAACTAGTGGCTGTTGATGAACACCAGGCCTAGAATGTTTTAATTTATCTGCTACTAAAAAGTGATTTTTGTCTCTTCCATTGTCATATTGTCTATTGATAGTTTACCGATTGTTTGGCATCTCTGTCCGCTGAGAAGGGCTAAGAGAAAAGCAACTCTTTGACTGAGGTCTTTCATGGATAATAATGATGGTGCTTGCTGACGTCTTAAATAATTGAAGACAGTATTGACATTCCATGTGGAGCAATACCTTGGCAGAGACGGTCGGGACTCATATACACCTTTCATAAAACGTTTAACGATGGGCAGTTGGCCGAAGGGAGTAGGATTGCCCTCCCAGGACAAAATTGAAGAAAGAACACTTCTAGCAGTATTAATAGAACTGTACGACAAACCAGATTTGAATAAGTCGGACAGAAATGACAATGCCTGAGGCAAAGGTGGTGAAATGATATCACAGTTGTTTTTCTGACAAAAATCAAACCATTTCTTTGCAGTTGACTGATATTGCGTCTTAGTTCCCTCTCGCCAAGAACTGAGAATAATGTCAATTGTATCGGTGGCGAAACCCCTCATTTGCAGTTTATTCCTGATACATGACAAATAAGAATGTTCAAGTTCTTGTGGAGAGGATGTTTGTGGTTCCGGTCTGATGGTAAGACTAAGAGGTCGGCTTTGGGCAATAGACGATGTGGAGGCTTCACTAGAAATTGAAGTAGGAGGGGATACCAGCTCTGTGTTGGCCAGTCGGGGACTACAAGAATGCCCGTGGCTTTGTCTTGAATTATTTTCCTGAGTGCTCTCAGGATGCAACTGAAAGGAGGGAAACAATAAAATTTTTCATATGCCCAGGAAATAGTAAAGGCATCGATATGCTTAGCATATGGGTCTGGTTTATAGGATACGTATGTATCAAATTGTTTGTTTAATCGAGAGGCAAACAGATCAATATTAGGTGAAAAACATAGTTTGGATAGAGCTTCAGTCAAATATTTTTTATTAAGCATCCATTCAGTGTCAAGGTTTTTGTTTCTGGATTCTTTATCGGCAAGAATATTCAGTTTACCGGGAATGTATGCGGCGGTGAGCCAAATTCCATGCTTTTCACATAAGGCCCAAATCTCATGTGTCACCTCATTGCATTGCTCACTGTGATTTGTGCCTTTATTATTAATTACCGACACTGCCGTTGTGTTATCAATCATGATTTTTACATGCTTATGTCGTAGGTGGTTTATAAAACTTTTCAAAGTGAAAAACGCAGCGAGCAATTCCAAAGAATTTATATGTTGTTGTGCTTCGACTGCAGTCCAAGACCCTCCCGTAGAACAGTTATCCAGCACACCTCCCCAACCCGTGAGAGATGCGTCTGAATTAGCACTGACATCTACGGGAGTGGGATGGATCAAGTTATAAGAATTTTGTAAATTCACTAACCACCAATTCAGTTCTTCAATTGAACGAGTTGACAATTGCATATATGTATCAAAGTTTCCCTTTGCTATTTTTAATGCCTCAATCTTATTTTGTTCAATTGCTCGATAGTGACATTCTCCGTATCGAACGGCTGGGAAACTGGAAACAAGTAACCCAATAATTTGGGCTACCTCCCGAATTGTGTACCTGTCTGAATTTAGTATACATGAAATACGAGACATTATTTTTGTGATTTTCTCATTAGTTAGCTTAATTTTCATGGTTGCGGAATTGAGCTCAAAAGCCAAAAACACAATCTTCTGTTGAGGGAAAAACATTGACTTCTCAACATGAAGGACAAAGCCTAAGTTAGTGAGGAGATTGACAGCCTCAATAATTGATGTAATACAGCCCTCATATGAGGTGGATATGATCAAAATATCATCAATAAATATTACAAGTATATGACCATTTTTTCGTAAGGTACATAAGACTGGTTTAAGTAGTTTTGTAAAGTTTCGTGGACATGTTGATAAACCATTTGGATAAACAGTATATTTGAAAAGTTTTTCTTTATAAAGGAATTTTAAGAACTTTTGATAGTCCTTATGTATACCAACAGTATAATACGCATCCTTGAGATCGAGGGATGCGAGCCAACATTCCTTTGTCATAAGTGATAAGGCGGTGTTAATGGAATCCATTTTAAAATGGTATGATTTGACATGTTCATTAAATTTTTTGAGATTTAAGATAAGTCGAACCTTATCATCTTTCTTGGGAACGGAAAAGATTGGCGAAATGAACTCGCCTGGTTCGTGGGAAGTTTTGACAATGACGTTTTTAGCCAAGAGTTTAGAAATCTCTTCTTCTATTTTAATTTTATGATCTTTTGAAATCGAGTTTGTTGGATAAATAGAACATGGTGGAGGGTCTCCGATAAACTCAATGACTTCACCTTTGACAGTCTGTAGTATACTTTTGTCAGAAGTCAAAGCTTCCCACTGTGAAATAAAATATTTAATTTGGCCGCCACAAAATAGATCAATCAGTCTTTTTAAATTCGGCAAGATTTTTGAGGTAAAGTATGTCGGAAAACCAATTACCTGATTATTTATTGACGGAAATGACTCTTCTGTTGTTGGCTTCGGAACGGACGGAATGTTTGCTGGGGAGGAAATTGACCCCTCCCCCTTTTTGGTAAAAAGTGTTGCCTTTTTTTGGTTTGGATAAGGCATAAACCGTTGGCGCGGAAATGAATCACGCAACAAGAATTTCCCATGCAAATTAGCCTCATTGACTGATTTGCTCAGATCGTCACCAAAAAGAAATTTCTCGGGTTTGTTCGATCGGTGACAAGCAGGCTTTAATTCGTTACTGAGTAATGGGCGTAGTGAATCCCGTCTTTTATAGGATAATTCCGTATTAACATGGCCCAAAAGCGCAATTGAATCAAAAAGACGTGAGGCAACAGTACGATAATCAGGCAATGTCTTGTTTTCTCTACATTTTAGTAGCTCGTCAACAGTAACAGAAAGTGCGCTTGATACTCGAACAATAGAGTCTTGTAAGACTGCTGTGCGTAAGTCACGCTGTCGGTGAAAAGCTTTGAGGCTCATTCAAATAGGTTCATTAACCTTTGGTACAAAAAGCTTTGGACAATTTTCAGGTGTTCTATATTTTTCAAATATCTCCTTACGTTTCTCTAGTCCGAGATCTGATGAAAATTTGTCGTTTACAATTTTTGCGATTTTTTCATGTATTGGTGTGCCTATAGAGTCTGACGGCCGTAACGATTCATCAATTTCATCTAAAAGGTCCTCATTATCGTCAAAATCATCGCCGCCAAGAATGCTTAATGTATCATCATTTACGACCCTTTGGTCAGATGGACTAGCTTCCTCTGAAGCTGGCGTATGAACTTCTTCTGAAGCTGGCGTATCGGTATTTGCTTCCTCTGAAGCTGGCGTGGTGTCCTCCTCTGGGACTGGCGTTTGCGATTCTTTTGAATCGACTGTCTTTGACGCGCGTTCAGCGCGTAGTTCACTTAAAAATTGTGTGGTTTCTACCATACTTTTTTGTAGTTCGGAAAACATGTTGAATAACATTGCATTGTCTGGTGAGGGCGCTACCGCACCAGCATCTAAATTTTGTTCAGTGTCTGACATGCTATTACTACAGATAATACGAATATAAAGATAAAGAAAGTACAAAAGATAACGACTTAGCTCTTTTTATCCAGAAAAGATAGGCGTCGTCTTGAGAAGATGAATTCCAAGTTCCAACAGAACGATAAATTGCGGGTGCTTACTGGTTCACATGAACAGTACAACTGGTTAACTCATGCGCGGTACTGTCTCTCGTACAACTACGTAACGACTATAGCTAATGACGTAATAGAATTGCTCAGCATTCCAGCAAGCAGACCTCCACACGATCGGTGTAAGGAAATATTCCGGACGTTGGGCTGGGAATATATCGAGTATGGTTGTCAGAGCAAGACAACCACAAAAAATCCTAATAAAACAATCGCAAAGAAGACGGTTGTAAAGGACCTAAACATGTCCGACATCGACTTCAGATACGAAGGTTTCTGTAAGAGGATGAAAATTACATACTCCATGTTATCGGTAAAGGATAGGAATAGAATCATGGACGACATCAAGAAGGTGCACGACGCGGAGGAACCGAAAATGAAATCGCTTCCTAACCTCAACATCCTAACCTACCAAGCATGTAAAAGACTTAACATAACAGTGGATGAAAAGCTGCTTAATATTCCGGTAAGCAGAGCCCCACACGATCGGTGTAAAAGGGTATTCCGGACGTTGGGTTGGGAATACGTTGAATAATTTTAACGCTTTTCATTAAGCATTAAAATTGAAACAGTAACTTCAGGGCGATGATGACGAGAAGAATTTCAACCGTTATCGGGATGAGTAGACAGAACACCAGACTCATCCACGTTAGTTTCCGCAGTATTTGAGTTTTCGTCATTTATTTTAACGTACTTTTTTACCGTTGTGCTGACGTATCCAATTTGAGTGTGAGCGTTGATAGTGAGATCACCGCGTTCCATACCGACTCCGAAACTGAACATCTTTCTTTTCCGATGGTTCTTGTCGTACTTCACTTCATTTGCTGTCTCAGGTTTTGCGTGTAAACATCCCATTTTATTTATTCTTCTTTTTATCCCCTTCCTTCGTGGTCTTTGCTGATGGTCCTGCTTTGTCTTCCTTTGTGATCTTTGCCGACGGTCCCGCTTTGCCTTCCTTACACGACGTAACGTACTTGATGTTGGTTGTCTTGGATTTAACGTAACCGAGATTCAACCCACCTCTATTGAGTTTTATATCGACGTTGACGGTCTTATCCTTTTTTAACTTTCCCTTAACCTTGCTGCTGTCGCTATTCATTCTTTTATTAATACGGAAAGAAAATCCATCTTGAAGCGATAACCCGGCCAACGAACATAGTGCCGAGAAGGTAAATCAGATTGTTTGATGCTTTCGGTACGCTTACCGTGTTAGGATACGGTATGGGGTTCAGCTTCTCGCGTGGTATAGGGTTTTGGACTTTTACATCCGGACTCTTCTTTATCTCCTTAGGCCTTGAGTAGTTAACATTCGTATTACTACCAAACTTCATGTCCTTTGTCGCTAGTGTTAGTGTGTTGTTGCCCCCCGCTATTTTTTCTTGAGTATAATCATATTGGACTGTATTAATATTAGTCCGGGTGATATTGCCATGTTAAGTACAACGTTAGTATCCTTTATTGCTTTCCTCATATTGGAGATGGATACCGATACATCGTCTTGCGCATCGGTGTCTTTGAAAAGTTTGTGAAATACGTCCTGAGTTTGCAGAGACTTCGCACCCTTACCAACGATAGACCAACGTGTTTGTGCTTGCGCACCTAAGACGCAATAGACATAACTTTCGACAGATTGTAGAAGTAACTTTAATCCTAGGGGCGTCAGCCCGTCCGATTTCTTAGCTATGAACTGGGTGTAGTCCGTATCGCTGTTGTTAACGACCCTGTCTACTTCCTGATAGCTAATTCCCATTACACCACCGGTATGATAGTATGAATATTTGTAATTCCTAACCCTACTTTTATCCGGAAGTCTGCTATGCCAGAAACCTATTTCTGTGTGTCCACGGTGAAATTTGTCAACCCACGTTTTCTGTGTGGGCATGTTTCTTTGTAGATACTTTAGCATATCCTTCGTTACGTATTTTGTCATTTTGCTTGGATTTCTGAGGAACCTACGCATGTGGTAGTATAGGTGATACCTAGCAATACTTGTGATTATCCTTGAGGTCCCTTTGCTTTCCAACAGGTGTTCAGTACTTATCCCACATTTATACGTAATAATGGAAGCAGCCAGTATCGATGCAAAATACGGATCGTTTATATAATCGAACTTTACCCTGGTGATATCCTTTGCGGTACCGGTCCACTTCGTGTCGAGATCGTCGAAGTTGGATACAAAGCTGTTGTGGGAAGTGTTAATACAGTCGCAAACATAAATTTCGAACCTTTTTAATCTGTACGGAAGTGGATCCCTGTTATGTTTAAAGGTTTGAACGGTTCCGTAATTACCCCATATTCTCTCCCATTGGTAAAGGTACCACGTCCACTTTTTATTTCCCCTGAATGTGCTGGATTTGATGTCGTAACTTTCCGCGTCCGTAACCTTAAAGAATATGTCCTTGGATTCCAAAGTTCCGTCCTTTGCAAATGTAACCTGAAAGTCAAATTTAGACATTTCTGCGCCCGGATATTTTTTCCTAAAATCCTCCTTCATCTTCCGTCTTTCAATGGGTGCTGCCGCCTTTACTTTTTCGTACTTCTGTCCGTAATAGTTGCGGAACATGTCTTCACTGGTACTCATTTTATTTAATACATATAATAAAAGTGAAGAAGTTAACGGTGTTTATCGAGGACGGAACTACCGAGTTTTTCCCGGACAAGCGTATTACGACGAACGCAGAGTCAGAATTAATCCTAAAGAATGCAACCATATACTGGGCTTATAAAAACGTACGTTTGAATGTCAACGATAATATTACCTATGGACAAAAGAAGATTACCTTCGAAGATGGCTACTGGACCTTCGATGCAATAAAGAAAAAACTGAAGATAGATGGAATAAAAATAGAACGTAAGACATACAACAATACCTGCAGAATCTACCCGGCAACCGGGACAGACCTACATTTAAACGAATTTGCTCCACTAATAGGATTCCCAGAAACGGAGATTCTAACCCCCGGAGTGTGGGAGAGATCCCCCTATCCTATAGGTATTAATCATGGTCTTAAATATATTACCATCGACTGTGATGTTGTTAATACATCCCTAAATTTTGACGTAAACGGTAAAGGAAGTTTTACGGTGAGCACGTTAGCCGTGACATCTGACCCAGGGGCGGATCTAGGGGTCGTCAAACCAGTCACGCGACTAACGTAAAAATTGCAAACTTAATTAAAGTCTTATTATATAAATATTCGACCAATAGTCCAGTTATTTTTTATCATGCAGCGACACCTTATAATAGTCCAGTATCTATTATCATGCAGCACTAGCAATTAACATTGGTTGAGCCGACGAGCTTAGTCAAGTCAATGAGCAGCTGACATACGCAAAGTTGGTCAGTCAAAAAGTCAAAATCCAGTGTTTTGATTGGTCTAGACGCTTATTGCCATGGTAACAAGCGATTTTTTGCGATTTTGACTGATCTGTGGGGAGTTCTGACCGATTTACAAAAGTCAAGGGGGCTCCATTAGTCGGAATATCATTAATATTTGACGCGTGATAAAGTCTTTCCGAGCGCGCGCTCATTCGAAGTGTCATGTTGTAGCTTTGTCGAAAGATTCAATTTAAAGATATCTACGGAAAATTCGGAAATGTCTGCTGCTCCAGACTCCAGTCCTTGTAGTATTCACGAAACGGTTCGATCCGCATTTGCAGTGAATGATTTAGCTGTCTTACAAGACTGTTGCGCTGATCTTGGGAGGAAAATCAACGCTAAATATCGGAGAGTTCCATTCAGTGAACAGTTGCTAAGCGGCGTAAGCGCCATATTAGCAGCGATTGGGGAGCCTCGAACATGTATTTGTGAGCTCCGTTTATTTTATATTTTTTTACTCAATATCCACATTTAATCTTATCCACATTTTAATATGTTGATACACGATAGTGATACCTATCTTTGGACCGGTTCCTTGGCCGACTTAAAGTGCTTTGTTGATGAAATTTTAAATCTTAAAGGGAAGTGGAGCTCTCCAGGAGGCGAAGCGAAGCTGTTTTGTGCTACAAAGCCTGACTTTGTTATTAAATGGTTTGGCTGGCGGTCCCAGAAACTTGTGATTCAAGTAGACAGTGCTGAGAACTTTTTAACACAGAAGTTTGAGAGCTTGGTGAACAAGAGTAAAGGAAACAAAGCTGATAGCAAGAATGGTACTGATGGAGTGATTGTTAGCGATGGCGATACAGCACATCCTGCTGTACTGGAGGTATGTAAATGTTCCTGCTCTGTTGATCTAGAGGGCTTGAAGCTTGAAATAACAATTTTAGAATCGCGATTATTTGCCGCAATTTCCAAAAATGAGCTTGAGTCAGATATTGATCTGCTCAGAGTTAAACAGAAAGAATCGGAAGCCGCTATAAGACGCCAAGACGATGTGATTTGTACTCTTAACGAAGAGAATCAATTCCTTAAAGCAAGGCTGTTGGCTCTTGAAGAGTCGTTTCTCAAGATAACTTATAATGTCAATAAAGGCAAAGAACCTGGCTCATCAGTTTACAAAGCTAAAAGTATTGACAAAGCGGCCGCTTTTCATGCCAGTGAACAATCTAACAAAAGTAACCTCAGCTCAATTAACACTGAATTACTTAATACCTCTCATGACAATAGTCTTGCTCGGCATAATAACAACGGACAATGCAATGCCGATGATTTGAATAATAATCAAATTGACCTTGCAAATGATGATGCTGTGTTTTCCTCAAAACAGCAGAATGAAAATAATACACACAAAGGCATAAATTCGAACTTGCAATCCGAATCGCAGCAGTCAACCAACATAGAAGGGAATAAACTTAGATATGATCTGTCCCCAAAAACCTCTCATGACAATAGCCGATTAGATACGATCCATC